TATTTAATTCATTATTCATACATTAAATTTAATTTTTCGTGCTGATTTTGACATTTCTTTCATCACTTCCTTTACATTAACTGGTTCTTCTCTATAAATACTTAATAAAACAATTTTCAGATTTTCGTAGGGGGGGCCCGGGCCCCCTATAGCCCCCCCCCCGGCTACGCCCCTGATGCTCTGCTTACTTAATTATAGGAAGGAATGCGTAACAGTTTTGGTTTTTATATCTACGGACTTAGCCTTTTCTATATCTAAGTGCCTCGGTTGAGAAATTAGTGATTAACGAGATTCATTTTTAATGTTTTCACATTTTCTTATGGGTTAAACCAAGCAGGAATCGATATTGAGACCATGCTACGGACATTTCAGTGTCAAATTTTTTCGACATGTTTAAATTTAGTCGACCTAGCGTTTGAATATTTCAAAACCGTTAAAAGTTTGTCAATTTTAAGATTTTAAGCATTAATATTTAATTTCTAGTATTTTTCTTGGATGATTTTAGCTAAACTTAGCTAAACACGAAGCTAAGAATAAGAATCGTTTGCCCAAGCCTTGTTTTTGCCAGTGTTTGCAAGAAATATTCATGAAAATTTAACGGTTTTTTGAAATTTAAAGCAAAAAATAACGGATTTTTCGACGTGTCCATAAATGATTGAGACAATGACATGACACTTGTGAATCATGCCGAACACAATTGTGTCTATTTGAAGGTGGTGCTGGAAGAAATTTTCAACCAATGTAGGGATTCTGACCCCAATAACTAGGGTGACCATCTGCGTAGTTTTACAACGGACAGTCCTGTATTTCAAAACCCTGTCCTGTATAAATTTGAAAACTTTGTTCCAGGTCCTGTATTTTTTTCACGAAAATTTCCGTTAATTTTCGAATTTTACTCTATGTCCTGTATTTTTCGAAAAAATTTACCAAAAGTCCTGTATTTTCATGAAAATTAGATGGTAAGCCTACCAATAACTACCATCTCTCTTTAAAGAAGGAAAAAGAGCCCAAGATTTACAGTTTGTATGCAAATTTATTGTCATGATTTAATAACTTGTTAATTTTTCAAGGTGAACAACAAGTTAAAATTAGATATTAATGCACAACTTATTTCTTATTTGATTTATTCTGCTTTAATTTTTTGTTCCACTTCGGTAAGTTATAAATAATACTTTTGAATGATCAAAACCTTTTCAAGGATTTATCTCTATGCCATAACACTCATCATTCACTTACTGTAATAAGGTCTAAAAAACGATCAAAAGTTAAGCCATAATGTACATTAAGATTAACATTTTGAGCAGAGTTTGGCAGTAAAAAAAACTCGCCATTTCCGAGAGCAATAAAAGTTGAACCAACATTTTAGATTAAAAGCAGCAATTATGGAGTTTATTTCCACACATCTTCTTGATTCCATTAGACTAGAGCGATTACTGTAAAAGTCATTTTCTCTTTTATGTGCTTATTTTTATAAATTTTTAAAATTCTATTCTACTAATGCCATGCCGAAAACATCATTATTATTGTAGGAAAGTGAAAAGAATAAAAATGAGAGAAAAAGTAATCAGCAAGAAGAGAAGCTCATATATGAACTTGAACTCATCTAACAGGTATTAAGATACGGAGCGAATGAACAAGAGAGTGAGTAAAAAGAAGGTACATAACATTGAAAACGTGACGCACTGAGCAAATTTTTTTTTGAAAATGAAACAAGAAAGTCACCTTCATGTTCAAGCTAAATGTATTATATCCAACGCAATCAAATACATAAGTGTCGTAAAAGCATTTTTTTTTGCTCTCTTTTACAAATTCGGAAAATTGTTTCAGGTGCTCATTTATTTTATGCTAGTAAAACCATTTGAGAAAATTACATAACATACGATCGGGAGTCATTCAAATATTACGTTACGCTATATGGAATGATTTTTAAAGAGAGCCCTTTCCTCCTCCTCTTGAAACGGTTATTATTTGTGTTTAGGGAGGGCATGGGCGTTGCCAGGAATTTGAAGAGAGAGGGGAAAAAAAATTTGGGGTGGGAGGGGGGGGGGGTGTGGTGTGGGTGATTTTTAAGGATTTTTCTTTAAAATTCTAGCAAAATGAAAAAAAATTCTGTTAATGTAGTGGTCACCTAAAATCCCCCATAGCAACGCGCCTGAGTAAGAGGGCACATCTTAATGGGTAGTTCAAAAATGACGTCATCAACACTGATATTTCGTCAACCAATTCCATATACAATGAAACCTATTTTGTCCACTAAACATTTTCTAAAACATCACGTAATATCCAAATGACTCTCCATAAAGTAATTTTCACCTCTCTTCTCTTTACTTCTCATTCCATGATTCATAACAAACCACAATTGGACCACTTGTACAGTAAATAAAATGCAAAAAAAAGAAAAATTTATTCCATTATAGTTTGTGTAATTCTCTCTCTATTTTTTTTTGAAGCTTTACAAATAAAATTTTCTGCAAAATAAAATTAAATAAAAAGTTCCATGTGATGCACAATGTAAATGTGGGGAAAAGTTTTTAAAATTCATCATCTAGAGCGCATATGTTTTTGAGAATACTCAAGACTTTGTTTGAATTGTAACAAGACTTTGTTTTATTTAAAAGAATATTCTGAATTGACTTTGATGTTCATAATCGGATTATTAAAGTTTCATGAGACTTGATGCTTTAAAAATTTTTATTACTATGGCAGAGACAGGTTGTAAACATTATGTAAATGTTGTCAGATTGTCACAGCTATTGTTTTATATAATTTATCTAATTTTATGTATCAAAGAGATTTTATTAATTAAGTAAAGTATCGATTGCAAGTGTTGGTGTGCTGGAAAGTAAGAAACTTATAAGAGACTTTACTTTTATTACATTTTCGGTACTTTTTGATTTAGTCTTGAAGGCAATTTTGATTTGAGACTTCAGAATCAATTTAAGGTAATGCTTTTAACAAAAAGTCCTTAAAATAATTCCAGTACTTGATGATGGGTTCTTATTGCTCCACTATGTAGCTTAGGGCCTCCACAAAGCATTTGAATCGCACTCGATTCTGAGCCAGTACTTGAAATCACTCAACTATTCATCAAAATCAAGTAGTTTTCATAGTTTGATCGAAGGAAGACCTAGAATTTTTGACATTTCAGCCCGAGGATATAAGCCTTGATTTTAGGATATAAGCGATACTATCACACAATGCTAGTAGAGTATTGAGTTGATTTGAACTGTATCCTAGGATCCAGGAACTCACGCCATATGTCTAGTCATTTCAAAAGATGAGTACTTTGCCAAGGGTATTCCCTAGTTTAGGTAAATTATGAGATGTGCAAACTTGATGGTTTTTACTTAAAAATGGTTAAGAATTTGGTTTGATAATTTTTTGTGGTGTTTAAATTGACAAATTTTCTTTAAAAAATTATTTTTCATTAATTATTTTAAAAATGCAAGAACAAGTTGAAATTAATGATCAAATAATAAAGTAGCAATTATAGCTTGAAGATAAACCAATAATTTTAATAGCCTTAATGAGGTTGCACTCATCATAATCAACAATAGTCATTAAACTGAAGTGGATTAAATTTCAAATTCTGATAATTGTTTAATGAATTGTTTAACTCTACTTGAATTATATAAAGCTAACAAAATTGTAAGCTTTTCTGCATACATGCCAGAAAACTCTGTTGAAAAGAAAGGAGCTTTTTCTTCTAATGGACCTTTTTGATGTGTGAATTGAAAGCATTTATAAGGGTAAGAATTTACTTCCTCTGTATACTCAATTGAATACATAATTGAAGCTGATATTTGCAAAAATAAATGCAAACACAGGTCTTTAACTTGAGGCAGAAAAGAGAAACATTGAGATACAAAGTAAATCATATTCATGCGTCAATTTGGCTACACAATTCAACACACGTTTCAGACAATTTACATTAATTTTGATTGTTTTCTTCTTTTTGGGATCTTCCCAGCAAAAGAAAAAGAAACCAAAATTCCCGATTCGAAATGGAATTAGCATTAGGGATGGTTCATTGATTGAGTCCAGTTATTATAAAGAGGGGATCTTTTGTTAAAAGAGGTTGAAGTAAATCTTGGTGACAAAAGTACTGAAGACTCAAACTGTTTTTAGATCTTAGAACGAATGTTGGTTCTCGTTCCAATTTTCAGTAAGTCACAATGTTTCTAGGTCCGTTCTAGTAAAAACCCTCCATGGTAAATTTACGGCTTTCATATGATGGGGGGTAAAATCCCCGAAAGATATTAATTGTCTTTCTCTCTCAGAGTTGCAATCTGTCACAGGTCAACGAAAGCAGCCCACCTGTCACAGGTCGCAACCTGTTTGACAGGTCACCTGTTAACAGACCACATGGTGACAGATCTGTCATAGATTTGCAAATCTGTCACAGATCTGTGACAGATCTGTCAACAGATGGACTATTAAGAGATGACCTATGAAAAAGGTGGCAGCCTGTGACAGGTGATCTTTTGACAGGACCTGTTACCTGTGCCTGTGACAGGTACCTGTCGTCGCAACTCTGTTCTGCCTCCAAAATTCTTGACCCGTTCATACATTTCACTTCGCCTTATTCTTAGTTTTACTTTTTAACTGCTGCACCTAAGAAGCCGAAATATCTAAACTTCTGAAAAATCACTAGGCTGATGCTGGAATTAGAACCCGGGAGTCTAAATTCAACACCAACTTTTGTGACCTATACCTTATCAACTAAGCTATCAAGGCACTTTTGTTTCTTTTCTAATTCTAATTTTAGATTCACATCATTTATGAACGACGCCCTAATCGATGTATTTACGTTGTCGCTCGCAATAATTCTTGTCATAAACACCTGACAAATCAGCAGAATAAATTATAGAATAGAGAATTTTGCTCTCTGCGTTCAAAGTATAAGATACTCACGACATCGCACCTGAAATCTGAGAATAGAGAAGTAGTAATAAAAAAATATTAGTCTTACTATAAAACTAAACTTGAAATTTGTCGGCAGTTTGTGTTGTGGAATCAAGAGATATACACCTGAATAAAATCATTAGCGCATTTCACAATTTTTAGTCGTACTTGATTCATAAAATTGCAAAATAATTTGTACGAAGTGAATTTTGTGTTTCTCATTTAATTCCTCAAAAAGACCATTAAGCAAATATAAGAGAGACTCAGTGGATAGAAAGTGTTGCTCATCTCACAATTTGCATAATCTCTCTTGTGATTCGAATAAAATAGATTTATGTGAATAAAAAATGTTCCGATACTCGGCACTAGTTTTTCTGTTGGCAGTATTGCCAGTCGCTTACAATCAGGTGAGTTGAAACAGAAAAAAGAGGCAAAAAAACCCCATTGTGGTCGAAAGATGATGAGACTACCGAGAACTCAATGCATTTTTTAATACCATTAAAATATTATTATTGGTTTAACGTCCAACTCTATCTTCTGCATGATAAATGAAAAACAATGTTGAGTCTATATGGTCGGTTATAAAAAAAAAAAGCTGGTGGAAATTAAATTAACCTTACAGTCATTCATAGTGTTGCCAAAGTAGAAGCAACAAAAAAAAATGTGGAAAAAACTTTTCATCACGTAGCAAACTTGCAGTTAAATTAGTATTTAATTACATCCTGTGTCATTAGGCACAAACTTTTTCGATTGGTGATGGCTCTCATTCCTGTTTGTGGTTTTTGGAGATAAAAAATCTGTGCTTTTGCATTTAGCCATTCGGCAACATATTGATCTAAAAATAATAACTTTTGGACACTGAACAATGTGCAGCATGATCAAAACATACAGTCGATGAAATAGAAATTTATTATTGACCAGTACCCAAAATTGTATTTCGTTTTCATTCAATGGGAAATTAAGGATGTGAAGTATACTGTCATGCAGGGGGTAGCCATCAACATAGCGAACTTTCATAAATATGTAGTCACATTAGGAAGGTTATATTCGCGTTTAAATTACTACCATACCACAAAATATCATCTTGTCTATAAGAACAGATTTCTGTAGAAGAGAGGATCTGATGCAAGAGGCAGAGGCGTCAGGAAAAATCTTCATCCTTAGGATTCACTCGTGTCAAGGGGAAACCAACATTATAAGAAATTATTGTGGTTTTTCTTTCAAAACTTTTTCTCACCATATTGTTTTCCCCTTTGTCTAAGGTAAATTTCCTTAAGCAAACCAATGCATCTGGCCAGCCTCCTTTCAGTCCAGCGACAAATTTGTTTTGTAAACAACAGTTCTCTATTGAGACTTGATTACTTCCGCATTTCCCTTTTATGTTCTGTTCTCCTTTTTTCCGAACTCATTTATATTGAAACTAAAATAAATAAAATCAAATCTTTTTGTGTTGACTATAACGTGTCCAAATGTTCATTTGACATGAACAATAATGGCTAGTATTTGCAACAAACTGAAACTGTATAAGAAACTTTAATATGCTGTATGCTTTTATATTATGACAGATGACATTGTGATGAATGTAACAATAAATGCTCGACAAAAATAAGAATGAGAGAAATTTATATCATTCATATAAAAAGCTAAGGCAGGAAGATGAATAACTCGTACGAAGGCATAAAAAACTCTTGAATATCATCATAACAAGCACTTTCTCGGCTCTATTCTTTTTATCAACATGAAAATTTGATGTGAAAAGAAACCACAAAGGTGTCTGTTTGACAAGTCACCGGCTGTAAATCTTTTGAACAATTTAACTCTTTCACAATGACTTCTTTATGTTTTGATCAAATAAATTTAGTTTTGCTTCAGTAGAAGTTGTTTGGTTTTTACATTTTATTCAGCAAACAGAGAATGATATTACTAAATTTAGTAGAGACAGATAGGTAGCAATTGTTTACTTGGATATGGTATATGAACAATTGGAGATTTCATGTGATGATAAATATTGTTGTTCAACTTTGCTGTGCAATTGGTGTGCATCATAGAGCTTAAGTAGTGGGGTTATTGAGCTTTTGTTTTTTTAAAACCTGATTCTTTATATCTGATGTGTACGAGAGGTAATTGAACAAATCAAATAGAATAAAACTATTGAAGAGATTTCAAATTAATCTACAAAAAGAGTTTTTGATTCTATTAACTGCTTGTTCTGCTGCTTGGAACTTTATCTTATATTCTATGTTATTCTAATAATTTGTGATCTTTTAGATAGATTTAATTAAATTCGTGGGATTTTTTTCGATCTGTACATCCTGAACCATTGCACTATGGGCCAGAAATGGAAAATTTTTCCAAAAATTATTTCTACAGCTTATATGATAGTCCTTATTCTGCCCTACATTTACGTTCTTAAAACTTTGCCCAAGTCGACAGCGTGTCCGAGATATGGCACTTCAAAGTTGGTCAGACGACCATTTTCACGTTACATTGAAAATGCTCTCACCAGTCACTGGATGAATGAATCTCCTTCAATTTTTTTTTGGTAATAGCTTTAAATAGTTCCTTCATTTTAAGGTATAAACAATTGCAAAAAACTTTGGAAAATTTTGTGAAAAACTTGATTTTTCTCAAAAACCACGTGTTCGTCATACTTCCGTTTGTGTAGGTCTTCACAAGCACAACCAAAGTTACTAATTTCTTTTTTATATTAAAGATTACATCAAAAGCTATAACTTTTGCATACATGTCGTATAATTTTAACAAAGTTTTGGTAGTGAAAAAAATTTTTTTTATAAAAAAAACACCAATTTTTTGACAAAAATCGCTGTAGTGCTCCAGGGATACCCATGGTAGTGGAATTTTATTTCACATTTAGAAAGCTCTCTGGATATGCTATCAATTAATGCAGTAAAATGAACAAGTGTTCTCTTGGCAAAGAGCACTTTTTTGACTCTGAAAGTCGTTTGTCGAGCAAGGTCAAAAAAGAAAAATAATCATAAAAATTTCAGTTTTAAGTAAAATTTAATTTTTTTAAGTTAGATTGATAGATCTTTTTAAAACGCGTCTTTTGAGTATAAATATGTCATAGTTTTGTCAAGTTTCATGATCAGTTTTTTAAAAAAATAGTTTTTTTCAAAAAAAAACTTGAAAAATAAAGTATTTGACTTTAGAATTTCATAAAATGCATTCTTTTTAACATTTTTTTCACTATTTTGTCTAGTTTTGCTCCTCGTTTTTTCCTAAACATAAATCAATAAGAACTTAACATAATTGAAGCCATTTGGAGGTTAAATTGAGTTAAAAATCGTTTAAAATTTTTGTATTTCTTAAATAGTTCTTTACACAAGTATCTAAGATATAAAGTGTTGCATAGTTTTGAAAAGGTATTAAAATTTCCAATATGTTAACATGAAAATTTTAGGAAAATTTTCAAGTAATATAGTCAATTTGGGTAAAAAACGCATTTTATATATATGCTAGTTTTTAATGTTTTTCGTTTTTCTCAGCAAAGACTTTATGAAAAACTCTCAAAGTTTGCACACTTATTTGTTATATAAATGTTAATGACTCGTATAAGTTTTGGAATTTTCTATTGAGTTTTTCATGAGTTCTCCAAATCTGAAATTTTCAATATTAAAAATCCTTTTTTCTCAATAATTCCGATTTTTTATTTATAAATAAATATCTTATTTTGTTTCATTTTTCAATATCTTTTCATTGATATGTAACAATCTACGAAAAAAATAAGACTAGCGAGAAATCAATAAAAAAAGTGTCAAAAATTTATGAAAATTCTACGCTATTTTAATTTTTTATCCTTTTCTGGTTAATTTTATTAAGTTTTGTAAGAGTGTTATACCTTTTTGCAAATTTATAGCTTAAGACTTTCATCTGCTTTCATCCATTAAAATTCATATGAGTCAACGATAAGCACAACTGAAGTTAAATAAGCTTCACGTTGGCGCAACCAAAAATTTTGAATTTTTTAAAATCAAATTATTTAAAAGCTTTAAATTAAATCTTCAGGCTGCTATTAAATACATGAAACATTTATAACAAAACTAAATGAAAAAGTTTAATATTATAGCTCAAATAGCATTAAAATTAATATCTGGTTTTCTTCATATGGAACTGTCTTTTGTCGCCAACGTGAAGCTTATTTAACTTCAGTTGTGCTTATCGTTGACTCATATGAATTTTAATGGATGAAAGCAGATGAAAGTCTTAAGCTATAAATTTGCAAAAAGGTATAACACTCTTACAAAACTTAATAAAATTAACCAGAAAAGGATAAAAAATTAAAATAGCGTAGAATTTTCATAAATTTTTGACACTTTTTTTATTGATTTCTCGCTAGTCTTATTTTTTTCGTAGATTGTTACATATCAATGAAAAGATATTGAAAAATGAAACAAAATAAGATATTTATTTATAAATAAAAAATCGGAATTATTGAGAAAAAAGGATTTTTAATATTGAAAATTTCAGATTTGGAGAACTCATGAAAAACTCAATAGAAAATTCCAAAACTTATACGAGTCATTAACATTTATATAACAAATAAGTGTGCAAACTTTGAGAGTTTTTCATAAAGTCTTTGCTGAGAAAAACGAAAAACATTAAAAACTAGCATATATATAAAATGCGTTTTTTACCCAAATTGACTATATTACTTGAAAATTTTCCTAAAATTTTCATGTTAACATATTGGAAATTTTAATACCTTTTCAAAACTATGCAACACTTTATATCTTAGATACTTGTGTAAAGAACTATTTAAGAAATACAAAAATTTTAAACGATTTTTAACTCAATTTAACCTCCAAATGGCTTCAATTATGTTAAGTTCTTATTGATTTATGTTTAGGAAAAAACGAGGAGCAAAACTAGACAAAATAGTGAAAAAAATGTTAAAAAGAATGCATTTTATGAAATTCTAAAGTCAAATACTTTATTTTTCAAGTTTTTTTTTGAAAAAAACTATTTTTTTAAAAAACTGATCATGAAACTTGACAAAACTATGACATATTTATACTCAAAAGACGCGTTTTAAAAAGATCTATCAATCTAACTTAAAAAAATTAAATTTTACTTAAAACTGAAATTTTTATGATTATTTTTCTTTTTTGACCTTGCTCGACAAACGACTTTCAGAGTCAAAAAAGTGCTCTTTGCCAAGAGAACACTTGTTCATTTTACTGCATTAATTGATAGCATATCCAGAGAGCTTTCTAAATGTGAAATAAAATTCCACTACCATGGGTATCCCTGGAGCACTACAGCGATTTTTGTCAAAAAATTGGTGTTTTTTTTATAAAAAAAATTTTTTTCACTACCAAAACTTTGTTAAAATTATACGACATGTATGCAAAAGTTATAGCTTTTGATGTAATCTTTAATATAAAAAAGAAATTAGTAACTTTGGTTGTGCTTGTGAAGACCTACACAAACGGAAGTATGACGAACACGTGGTTTTTGAGAAAAATCAAGTTTTTCACAAAATTTTCCAAAGTTTTTTGCAATTGTTTATACCTTAAAATGAAGGAACTATTTAAAGCTATTACCAAAAAAAAATTGAAGGAGATTCATTCATCCAGTGACTGGTGAGAGCATTTTCAATGTAACGTGAAAATGGTCGTCTGACCAACTTTGAAGTGCCATATCTCGGACACGCTGTCGACTTGGGCAAAGTTTTAAGAACGTAAATGTAGGGCAGAATAAGGACTATCATATAAGCTGTAGAAATAATTTTTGGAAAAATTTTCCATTTCTGGCCCATAGTGCATTGACTGTTAATTGGGGACCAACCCAAAGTTTTATGGGTATGTCCCAAAGTAGAGATAAGTTATATAAGATGCAAGTTGGGTTGGTCTAGAGATAAGTTATATTAGATAACTAGATCACCACAACTAGCCCTGTGCCAAATCAAAGCATATTTCTATTAAATTTCTTTTGTGTCTTTTTATCAACTTCTCCCCAATCCCTCCCCTTGCTACTCCACTGGAAGAAATTGAGACTGGTATCAACACAAAGACATCGATAAACTCTATCGGTAGGTTATATAATATTAGATAACCTAAAATACAAATAAAAAATATTTAACGGTCCCGCAGCTTATTTAAGAGTGCAAGCTTATAGCAAAAAGAACTTTTCTTTCCATAAATATTCAACCTTCAAAAATATAATTCAAGTCTAAATTCCAATTTATCAAGAAATTCTCGATTTATTAAAGAAAATGCGCAACTTGAGAGTCCAAAATCCCTCAAGATATCTTCACTGCTTTCTGCTTTATTTATTTTCTCAAATACAAATCTTCTGTTTCGACTTTATTATGAATGTTTAAAACGTTTAAGGTCATAAAACTTTATTTATTTCATAATTTTATTGATTTTTTCCGTATTTCGATTTTTTCTCAATTGAACACTTTTTATTGATTTATAATCTCAGAACTTGCTCAGAACAAGCAATGTATTGAATGTTGCTTTATTTTGTAAATGAGAGCAGCACAAAAGGAACAGCAAGAAAAGTTATGAAGGTTTGACAACTGCTCTTCTTCTTTTATTATTTGTTCAAACACAAAACAAAGGAATAAGAAGTTTTTGCGATCTTTCGTATGTCATTCAAGAACATATTACGTCAAGTCATGAGAGAAGCTAATAAAAGAGTACGTCATGCCTTAATTACTAAACACAAATAATGGAAATCATCGCTTCACCCGATCGGCACACGAGTGCCACGTGGCAGCCTAATGGCATCCACTTGGCATTGCCAAAAGTTAATTGGCAAACAGCGTTGCCATTAGCTTCATATATAATGTTGCCATCATGGCGCTGTGGTGGAGGTTTGGCGCTCTGTTGGTGCTGTGGTGGTAGTATAATTAGAACCAACTGGAAGCCAATTGGCAAAAATTTTGCCATAACGGCAAACATTAAAAATTGCCTTGAAAGCGCTTCTATAGCAATTATTTTGGCAATTTTTTAATTGCCATATGATTGCCGTCTGTTGGCTTTGACTTTTTCAGCTGAAAGTTTAAAGTTATTAAAAAAAAGAATTTTTGTTAAAATAAAAGAAAGCTATTTTTTATTCGTTTTCTGTGATCTTCGTTACAATTATTGTGAATGTCTCGACTTCTTTTCGCATTTGGTTTGTATATTTAATCTTTTTGTAAAGGGAGAAGAGAATTAAATTTTTTGTGCAGAACAAAAGGTATAATTAATAATTACTTTCTTGAGCACGACGCAACTCACGAGCAGCCTTATTTACAGTTTCGTGGAATCGTCGAAGATACTCCTGAACCTGTTCAGCAGCTTCAGATACATTCGTGTATATATTTGGTGAATTTTTATTCACTATTGCAAAGAAAAGCTGGAAATGCCCATCAAAATTTTTGATGACGAATCGATCTAAAGAATAAAAAATTACTAAAACACTTTATGGCAATAATTTTTACTTACTGTCATACGTCGACCAGCCTAATTTTGGAATTAAAGTTTTATCAAAATACAAATTGCATAAGGATGCCATCAATCCATATTTATCTTCGCCACGAGAGCTTCGATTTCTTATTTTAGTGTAATAGTATCCTATCTAAAATATAAATACAAAACAATTAATTAGTGACGACCACTTTTAAAAAATTACCTTAATTACTAGTCTTATATTCTTTGTTCATGAACAATGAACTGTTTATTTAAGTAAAATCTTTAAAAAGTTATATCAATGATTTAATACTCTTCCTTGTTTTATCATTATGCTGTGTTGACAATTTAACGGTTTTTACAATTTTGAAATTTATGTTGAAACAAAGAGGGCAAAACTCAAAGGAGTAAAATTCAAACCACACAAAACCGCTAAGGTTTAACATTTACAAAACAGTTGAAAATTTTTTAAAAAAAAATACAATTCAGTTCATTGTGGATGTAAAATTGCATAAAAATTAATAAATTAAGACACTTACCAAGTTATTTTTCAGAATTTTTGCATCTTCATCTTTTGGTGATTTCAGTAAGAGATTTTCACGTTCATTTAGTTCTTTGATGGATTTAATTTGTTCAGGACTAAATTCATCGTCAACATTTGCTGATGCAGTCATTTTACAAAATTTAGAATTAAGATTCATGACGACTGCTGTTAGATCATCCAATTTTTGATTTAAAATTAAGAACTGATCTTTATTCATACCGGGAAGATCAACCTCTTGATCTTTTTCGATCTAAAATATTTCAATTCAGAGAAAATATTGTCATTTCAAGTAAGTATAAACCAAAGCATTAACATAATCTTTAAAAGATTAAAGATAATTCCATGATGGAATTTACAAAATTCATTCACAAATTACAAAACATTTGCGTAATTTATGCACACATTATTTAATTTAATTATCAATGCTTAACTTTTTAAAGTCGATCAGTTATTCTAATGAATCTATGCATTTTGAAAGGCTAAGAACCAACTGTTATATATACTATTAATTAAAGTTTAATTTTTCTGTAACTTTTGGCATGATACTCTCAAATGCATATGGCTGTTACGAAATTTGAACTTCAGAAATTTATATATGAGAATTAAAGATAAATTGTTAAATATACTATAACTAGTGATTTTTTGTGTATCAATCAAATACTGATCGCTGCGTCAAACACGAAGACTTTTGTAATTTTTTAAACAATTAATTTCGTGTCTTCATATGAAATGAATAATTATTATTATTATTATTATGTGCAGTGCAAAACAGATTCAAGAATTTTAAAACGAAATTTCGAAAATATGTCATGGCCCATTAATATGTTCTTATGTTCTCATAAAATATAAATACAAACCTGAGAAATGTTAACGTTAGAATGATGTGGAGACAATCTTAAAGTGAAACCTTTGGAACTTTCACCATATTTGTTCGATAGATGATTTTTCGGTGAAGAAGATTGCCTGTATTCTTGTGAGTTATAATCGTCCGATTGTTGTGTTGCAAACTTATCAAGGAAGGATTAGAAAAGTCAATTAAAAATAAGAGTTGCTACAAAACAAACAATAAATATTTACCATGTCCTCATTTGAGGATGCAACGATTGGCTTTGAAGACTTTTTTGGTAGTATGGATGATGGCTGTGAAACGAAAAGATTATATTATTTAAAAAAGGACTTTTCCGACTGAAATGAAATTAAAATTAAAACAAAACTTAATATTTACCAGAGAAGCAGCGTTTGAAGATGATTTAGCATCCATTTTTGGTACAAATAATTTCGGTTTCTGAATCTAACAAATAATATAATTAAAATTAACAACACACAAAATATTTTTTAAAACAGAGCAAAAACCTACGCTTTTAACCTTTTTGGGCTTCACGTCTTTGGAGATCTCTGTCACAGCTTTACTTGGTCTTTGTTTCTTTAAATAAATTAGATTTTCAAGGTATTACATAAAGTATTAAAACAAAATTACAATTTTATCAATTTACCTTGCTCAGAAAAGAATTGAAATCGTATTCATCAGAAGAGTATCGCTTAACAGCATTCTTATGACGATTAGCTTTCGTTTTTGCTTCATTTTCTGACGCTGTGTTACTGTATAATGTTCGAGTAAGCATTGAAGCGTGTGCTAATTGATATGAAGCTGTAGAGAGAAATTAAAATAAAAAAAAATTGATACATAAGAAAGAATTATAAAATTACCTATATTATCCTTTAGCAACGATACTGCAATGACTTTCCAGTCATTCTCAGGTTCGACAGAAGTCATTACCAAATTTTTGACTTTCCCTTTTTCTGGGTAGAAAGTACATATGCCTTTAATGTCATCTTCGAAAATCCATGATTTTGGAACGACAAATACTTCATCGTCCAAAGTTCCAGACACTACAGCAAACTAATAATAAAAATAATATAAAATATTTACAAAATTAATTTAAAATGATCGTAACTGTGACTTTACGACATATAAACCCAAGTTTAAAAATCTTTTATAGGCACGAAAACCATTGAAAATTCATCAAACGGAATTCCTTGCATCTTATATTTAACGGCATTATACGGAATTTTGTAAAGCTTAAAAGTACAGTACTTTGTTTGACATTTATAGATATCAAGGACAGAAGATTCAATCGGTTTTACATACAAATTTTCTAGAGCTCCCAATTGTCGACAATAAAAAAGTGGATATTTACTATCATCCTTGAAAATTTTCATTATTACAAATATTTTATTATTCCTATCTAAAATAAATCTATCGCGACATCCTTCAGTTGAAAACTTTTTCCCATCCAAAAAAACAGATCTATATTCATTTTTGCGTATAATATACTTAATTTCGCTTGCGTGTGAGACACAGGCACCATTATCTACATCGTAAGAAAATTTTTCAATGACGCGCCGATGAATTTGCTGTATAACTTTTCCTTTTTTGTGAATGCATCTTTTGATATCATACAAGTATGACTCAAAAGGAAAGCAGCTAAATGCATCTAATGGCATTTTCTGATCTAAAACTGTTTCAGAGAGATGTTCTAGTAAATGTGTAGTGAGCGTAGCAAAAGTAATGCCATAAATATTGAGTGAATCATTAATGAACTTTAGAAGTATGAGATTTGCAGTTTCATTTTCTACCAAACAAAGTTCTTTGTCACAAAGAATGGAAATACCGACATGAAGAAGCAAAAAGTTCCTATAGTATTCATAAGGAATCAATCCATAAAATAGAGCTGGCCCCAACTTTAATAAAATATTTCTGCATTCATTCCCGTGGTATGATCCCACTTCATTTAAAGGTCTCAATTTTCTGTGTATTTCGGAAACAATAAATTGATTGCATGTTTTCATTCGTTCCGAAACTGCTTCTCTGCATTTTCTGGGCAATTCTGGCTTATCTTGACCAAACAATCTTTTCAACATTTTCTTAAAAACGCCTAAATAAACAATATGAAGTACATCATCTGGGAATTGATTGATCATATCGAGATTTAGTTCTGATTCTAGAATAGATTTTCCTCTATGATGCTGAACATCAGTTTGAGCTGACAATTCTTCATTAGTTCTTCTTCTGTGACCAACTTCATCAAAAATCATGCGTCTGTGGCTATAGTAACCTTCAATATGACAATGCTTGCATGAATTATACCCAGTAGCGTGAGCTGTATGACATATGTGTGCTTTAGCTGGTGTATCAGCACAAAAATTGCCAACTTTCAAGAAATATAAGTTATTTTCAATATAAAAACCTTGTGACAATTTATTTATATCCCCCACTACATCTTTTAGGAAATCGTTAAAATCCTGTGGTTGCTTTTTCCCATGGAAAAACCCGACTGGAAAAATTTTCCCCTGATAACGTCCCAATATTACCCAAAAGCTTTTTTTTCGAGTGTCGGCGAAAAATGATACACCATCCACAAAAAAATCACAAACCACTATGTTTTCTTTAGAGCTTTGGGGACATAAAACTTTTAATGTACTTAACAAATCAAAATGAATATACTTTCCCTGTACAATCTTTCTAGTCTTTGTTTTTCTTGGGGTCTTAAGTAGTGATCTGTAATCTTTTGGTAAATTGGGATAAACTTTTCCGATTCCTTTCAACAAACTAGTGACACAAGATTTCTGCATATTAAATTTTAAAGCTACATGTCTTAAACAATTTTTGATGTGATCAGTGCCATCATCAAACTCTTTCTCATTCTCATCACAAGTAAGATGAGATAAAACTGACGGACAAGCAGAAATTGGACAGTTTTCATTATAATCTATTCCTGAATTTATATTGAAAAAATCAGAATGATTAACAATCTGCCTATTTTCATCGAATTTTTCAGCATTGATTGTAATTCTATTCTTCAATTTCTCATATTTTTTCTTGAAATTACTCTTTTTCATTTGCAGAGATTTTTTCCTTAATGCTGTGATAATTTTCTTCTTTCTTCCCATTTTTCTTGAACTTTCTTGATTTTATTATGAAAAAATTGGACTTACCATATCGAATGTCAACTCACAAAAAACAAATGCCAAGAGAAGACGACCTTAGAGCTTGTTGAAACGTATTTCTTGATTAATAAATCCTGAAACATTATATGAGAAATTAAATGAAAAATGTATAAATATCTTAAAGCAAAGAGAAAAAATCACAGAAAGTCGGCATTTTAGCTGTTTTTCAACATAAATCAAGTGAAACGGGAGTAAAAATACAAATAAAATGATTAGTTGAGTTGCTCTATCCATTTTTAAAAGAAAGAAATGAATTCAATTAAAAAATATAGATGAAAATTTTGATTGAAAATCTTTTATCAATTTTTTTCGTCTCAAACGCTCGAGTTTCCATTAATTTTGAAATTTTCTTTTCACTTTTCACTTAATGTACCAAATTTCACTTTATACTTACTTTAAAGGCTTATATTTCCTTCAAAAACTTTAATTTTGCGTTGATGAATTTTTCACTTGTGAAATTTTTTGGATTGAACTTCAACGGAAAATTTTCAAAGTCGTCTTTGATTTTAAAAAGTATAAAATTTGAATTTTTGTTTCCAGTAAAAATGAAGTAACTGTTTAACAAGTCAGTAGTTAACAGAAATGTAAAAATGTATGACGTACATCAATGATTCGATTATTTTAAGTAAGATTTATCGTATTAATTAAACTAATTTTGCTCTTAACTGTCATCAATAATTTGAATTTTTTTTAATTGATCATAGTAAACAAGGAAGTTTTAAACAAGTTTTTTCAGTGGTAAAATTTTAATTAATAACGTGATAATCATTTATTCCTGATCAGAAATGTCAGCAATTGCCATGACCATTATCCGTACAAAATAATTAAAGAAAGTAAGTTTTGTATGATTCGAATATTTTTTAAAGACGTATTAGATCCAGGCTTATAATTTAGTTTAATTTAATTCACAGGAACATTTTGAAAAAAAAAACTTAAGAAATGCATTGAATGATCTAAAAGGCGATGGATTCCTGTTTGCAGTTCCTGTGTTTAGAAGAACATTAGAAGTAAGGAAAGCAAGAAAAATTAGAATTTCTTATCGTAAAGGATCTGAGGATTAAAAAACATTACAAAATAAGCCTTACATTAAAGTCTGTAACAATTGTAGAAATTTTCTTGGTAGAGATTGCTTATGTCCTAATTGTTATGCAAAGATCAAAGACGAGACGAATGAAATTAAGGAGAAAATCATTGAGGAATTAAAACTAGATTCAGTAGACAAGGAAGTCGTTGTGGTGTATGATGGAGAGAACGATAAACAATCTGCAGAATTTTGGAATGGCAAGCAAAATGCAGAAATGGAAAATGATCGTTTTGATTTATTTTCATTAGTTTTCGTAAGAATCTTTTGCATAAATTAACACAAACAAATGCTGAAATAATAGAGCTGGATATTAGTTCCATAGTATTAGGAAAGCCATCAAATATCGGATTATTATGTTCAATGTATTCTATAAATACCAACTAATTCGTATGGAAGCATTAAACATAGTTTGGCCTCATCACAAAAAAATTGTATGTGAGTGACGCTTTGTTATTCTTGATTATCTCCTTATCCTTAAAAGTGACAAATTTAAGAGTTACTTTTTTGAAAAGGGAATTAAAATCCCCATCTATTGTTGTACAATTCACTTCTTGAAACTTTATAATTACTCGAAAAAAAATCACTTTAATTGAGCATCACTCACGTACAATTTTTGGGAATTTTGCTATATCTTCATTATTGTTTATTGATATATGACCAAATGTATTTTTTTATGTGCGAAATTCAATTTTGTTCTTTTTGAGTTTATAAAAAATTTAAAATTGCTGCATTAACATACCTAAATGGACAAAATTATGTTAAAAATTTAACGGTAAAATTTGATTTGAATTTCTTTAGAACCTTACAAATAGCTCAAAAATCCTAGAACTCTACAAATGTTTTTCTTCTTACCCTGTTTTTTCGTTATAAGCTAGCAGCTTAGAAGAATAAAAAAGTGATTTTTTTTTTGGCTCACTAATAGCTTAGTAACGAGGAGTAGCTTATAACGAAAAAACAGGGTAATTATCTTTATTACCTAGGTAAGGTCCCTTTTCTTAATAACTTTTAAGACCATTTTCAATTCCAAATATGATTTACATGGTTTTTCATTTTATTAATACGAATTGCAATACAGGATGTGTTTAAGTGTTAGATTTTGTCTTGTAAAAAGTTTAAAATTTTATCCATTTCGTCCTTTTCGTCTAATTACTGCAATTTTTTAAAAAAAAATTAGTCCTCAATTGACCGTTAAAAACAAGTTTCAAGAAATGCATTAATATTATTTTTGGATAAAATAGTATGAAAAGTCAGCAATAGTCATACCACTCTTTAGACTTTGCTGAAAATCCAGCGGAATTTTTGTTTTGATTCCAGGCATTGCTTAAGTGCTAATAAGTAATTGTAGCATTGCTTAAGTAATTTTACTGTCTTATATTTTTGATTCAGATATGACATGAATATGACTGCTGATCTATATGAGGAGGAAAACGGACTTTATTCTTCCGTTCACACCTGGAAAGAATACTGCTAAACTAGTTTTATAATTGTTGTTAATCAACAAATGTATGTGACTTATAAGCCCAAATAAAGAATTTTTTTCCTGCACAACATCAGAATTTTTTTAAAAGTAGCAATTAGATCATTGGCATACTTAAATAAGTATTGCTGAACCGAATCCCATAGATTTGATTGGGTATTTTGTAGATTTACTAAAATTAGTTTTTAAAGTAAAGAGTAACTTGATGTAAACAAGATTTCGCATTTTAAGGTCTCAAACTTTATAAATCAGTTTTTTAAGTGAATATACCCTGTTTTTTTGTTATAAGCTGGTAGCTTAGAAGATAAAAAAAGAGATTTTATTGGCTCACTAGTAGCTTAGTAACGAGTAGTAGCTTTTTAAGAAAAACCAGGATATGTACAAATAAAATTTTAAACTGTTTCAGAAATCTCTTTGATAGGGAACGTTAAATAAGAATTTCTGGCATTCCTGATAGGAAAAGCTTTGTTTACGAATTCATTGTCATACTTATTTATGAGCAGATCTTCTAATTTTTATGATTTTTATGAGAATATCTGTTTAGCTGTTTTAAACAGAAAATCTCAAAATAATATATGTTAAAATAATAATTGAGTTGAAAAGTGGGAAAATATTGCCATTTAATATCAGCCAAGTGGTAGCTATTTGGCATCCAATAGAAATTAAATTTGAAAAACAAAAAATTAATTTCTCTAGGAATTTTTAACAGCCAAGTGGCGACAAAGTGGAGACTATGTGGCAACAATTACATTTTTATTTTAAAAAAATTGCCATTGCCACGCCATTGGCATCCAAGTGGAGTCCACTTGGATGACATTGCCATGATGTGCCAATCGGGTCAACCTTTAATTGATTCGTTTTAGAACAAAGTTTGATTGAGGGGGAAATGTACTTGAGGAATTAGATATTTTGAGTGTCTTGGCAGGGAATGTGTTAATCAATTGGTAAGTGTAAATTGATTGAAGTCAACCTAAGGCATCATTTTTGAAAAAAAAAAATAAGTTTCCATTCGTCCAGTTCTTTAAAAACTTCCATTTTGTCTGGGATAGTTTATGAATTTAGGGCTCAAAGAAAATAGATTCTTTTTCCAAGGGGAACACAACATCATCAGAAAAAATTTTGATCAAAAATTTCCAGGTTTCAAATTTGAGTCAAAAAATGAGAGAAAACTTAGAATTAAGTTTTAAAACTTTTTCCATCATGTTGTATTCCCCTTGCTTTGGATATATGCAAAAATTAAAGCTATATTAAGAATTTTTTGATTTAAAACTGAAGGTCTCTAATTGAATACATCCTGAATATAATGTATGAATCTCAAAAGATCTATTCTACCATACAATGCAATGAACTGCATTATATTCATCCTAATAGCTTTGAAACTAGTTTCGTCGTTCAAACATCAAAAGTATAGATGAGTTGTTACAAAGCTTTCAAATCCCCAAGTTTTCAATAAAATATAATTACACAAAGTAAATTTTCCCCTTTGACTAATCTAAAACTGAATTGCTATTGACTTAAACCTTTTTAATTGATTCAATGAATTGTTTGTTTATTGATGATACATGGAAGCATATATGTTTCATTTGGATAAGCAAACAAATTAATTACGCGTAACATATTGAATTGAATTAATTATTTATGCTGTAAATGTAATTAATTTTCAACATGTTTATCTAATGCATCAATGAAATTGATTCCGATTGTCTGTATCTATTTAATTTCCTGAAACTCAATAGCAGCAACAGCAGCACTAAAACTTCTCGACTTTTCAATAAAATATGCATAAAAATGATATTAAAATGTTAATGAGATACAATCTTACCAACAGTGAATGAACGAGTAATGCTGAAGATAATAGTGTATATTATGCATATATACGGAAGAACGTGTACCGTTCTCGAACATCATGTGCTCCCATCTCATGTGACAATGACAAAGCATCTTTGCAATTATTTTAATAAAAATTAGCATCATATTTTCCACAAGCACTTCAGCTTTTAACCTTACAATCTTATATTTCATTTATATGAGAAACAAGCACTTAATTTCTATTAACACGCCAACAGTATGTAGTATCAACCGTCTACCATTTAAGGTATTTAGTGGTGGAAGGCGAACAACAACATGAAAATGTCTTCGTTATTATTCAGAAAATTGTGCAATAGTGCTTGTGCTGAGAAAAACAAGGAGGAAAAGGAAAATAGAATTAAATCGTTGCTTACACAGCAACAGAGACTTTATCGTGCGTGATTTATGTTTGATATAGAATACAATACAAAGTTTTTTTTTTTGTTTTCCTACCAAAGATATTTTTAATGGGATTATTCAATTAATAAGGGGTCATTCGTATATTCCGTAACACTATTAAGGAGATCGGGGGCCTTAGATTTTGTGGCTATTTAAAGCATCTGTTGCCAAAGACGTCACAGGAGTTATAATTTTTTTTGTGTTCCCTAATAAGTGAACAACCCCCTAAGCTTACTGCTAAACGGCAAATACTTTTTACTCATTGCGACAGAACGGCAGGCGACGCAAAAACAATTGACAAAGATTCCTCTTTTTTGCTACAAATGAACAAATTGAATTAATTTTTGTGCTAACTCTTGTTACTTTAAATTTGTATTCATCCATTGTTACCGGAATTTTTACTCAGCTTAATTGGGATCTTTTTTTTTGTGGACTGTCATTGTTCTCTTGATTACGTTTTTACAGCGAAGATTAGTGGTGTAATTTCGATAATGAGTTAAATTTTTATTTTCTGGGCTTGATGTAAAGGGTCAGTAATGACATTTAAAATTTGGAAAAGAAGTGATATTTTTATGTGCTGCTTATAAGCTTATTAAAGTAGAAATCTTAAGAGTCGGTCTCTCATATCTTTCACTTAATAATGCACTTTGTTCGTTCGTTCGTCTGAAGAAAAAATTTTTAAGCAGACATCGTAGAGAGCTCAGGTTTGTTTTATTAGCTCCGATACTATTGATTTATTGGCCGATCGAACAGTTGAAAGTCTTGAAACAGTGTATTTATACTATGATTAATGGTTTTTTTATTTCATAACCAAAACCACGTGATGAGTACGTTTAAAAAATTCAACATTACCTCTATAATTTCAAATTTTTTCTAGCCGTTGTAAAATTTGAATTTCAAAAAACCATCAAATGATAAAGCTTTTCTGTATGGAAATTCATTGCAACAAATTATTAATTATACTATAATTGAGGTTTTTGTAGTGCAACTTTTAGTGGAAAATTTTCAAATTATTTATTGACCGTTAAATAATAAAGCCTTTCTATATAAACACTCATTACAATTATTTGTTAATTACACTCAAATAAATAATCTTCTAAACTTCTAATGATCTGTAAACGAACGCAAAATAATTATATAATCAAATACTGATCACTGCGTCAAAAATGAGCTGAAGTCCCTCGATCAATAACACGAGGACTTTTGTAATTTTTTTTTGTTTGACAAAGTCTTAGCCCCACTCCTCCTCTTAAGAGTGAATGATCTGGTAATTGACAAAATAAAGTAATTAGCTTATTTTGTAAATTTGAAATAAAATTATTATTTTCGTCTGGAGTGTCACATTATGAATAATTACATGACTGAAACATCAAAAAATAATTTTTATGACACTCTCTTCTAAAGGATTACTGGAGTTAACTGTAAAGCAACTAAATTTCCTTCAGTAATTATTAAAATTACACAAACCATTCTGTTGTTTCTTCAAGCTTAAAATAAAATTTCTTTATGAAATTAGACTTCGGATTCAATTCAATAATAAAGTGTCATTTGACTTTTGATCAACCTTTACAAATAACTCGGGAATTTCCAATAGAATTCTGTCTTGACTGTGGAAATTTCCCAAAAGAATAGCTTTTTAATCCATTGATGTGAGAACATTAATAAATCGTCAATAAGGTACTCGACTGAAACACTTTGAAGAGCTTTAAAATGTTGTCTCCAATGTTGAAGTATACTTAAAAGTTAGAAGAATCTACTGTGCAATCTTCTTGGCATCTTCTTCAAAAACCGATGACCTTCGAGTTGCCATACCAAATTTGAATCAAGCGCCTTACCTATTTGACCAACAAGCTTAAATGATTAAAGTGGTAATTTACTTCAAATATCCTATCGAGATTATGACTAGTAATCGTCAAATTCTCGAATCCCTATACAGACTCATAAAACTGATTTGATATTCAACGAGAGCATTGCAGTCAATTTAAATATAAACTTGACGACAAATAATTAAAATCTCTTTTTTTTTTGTGCTCACTTTTTTATTTTAATTTCATTGTTGAAATGAGAATATTTTTGACTGCATAAATTATCCTCTGAAAGCTGTGTTTTTAATTATAATGAGCATCCGAACAAAAAATGATACATTCAATTAACATGGAATAATTGAGAAAATTCCTGTCGAATAGCGGATGTTTTTTATGCCTCATAATATATTTAATTACTTGTCCTATTTTTTTGCAGTTCATCACATTTAAAGATGGCAAGATTGGAGTTAATTTTTTTGGCTTTCAAGCTGAAGCAGGTTGGTTCATTAGCACATGTTGCGGAATGATAAAACAATAATTAAATTAATTAACATCATCTTCCTTCTTATTTATTATTGTATCAAGGTCTTGGTGGTCTTTTAACAGGAGATGCAGCACATGGCGGACTTTCAGCATCTGCTAATACGCCATTCGGTAAGCGATGCTCATAAAAATTTCACAATCTAATTTTATAACAATAATAATTTCATTTAAAAACAGGCCAGAGAGCAGCAGCAGGTAAATACATCGAAAAATTTACACAAATTATTTAGAAACTTTTGTTACAAAACCATTTTGATATTATAGGATTGGGTGGAACTGTTGATGATCAGGGTGAGTTTTTTATGAAACTAATTTAAAATTAATGGACTTTTAAATTCAATTTGGACTTCATTGTTATGAATATGTAGGAGTAAATATCAATTATTATACGCTAATGGTGCGCGTCTTTCTCCTTGGGGTAATTGCAATCAAATTATGATTTAATGAAATAGAACTCTTTGATGGACGTCTGTCTTAATGCTTCATAAATTTCCATTAATGAATTTAAATCATTTTGAGACAGGAATGGAATATTGAGGAGCATTTTGGTATTTTGATTGTGGGAATGTAAACAGTTTAATGATTTTTGTTGAATTCAAGTTCAATTTTATTCTGGATCTGTAGGAATATTATAAATAAGTCAGTGCGCAAATAATTAATGAATAGAATATACTTACTAGACAACTGTAACCTATAAATTAATGAGCTTCGACAGCATTCCTTAACAACTTTTAAACTTCAATAAGTTTTGTCATTTAATTGTAGCTCACATATCTCTATTCTAGAGATTTAAAGCTATCGAAGTCACCCATAAGTAACCTCAACCCTTGATGTTCAACCCCTATCAGATACCTTAGTCGATTAATGTCCTACGAAGAGTTGCAGAACATTTCACCGGTGCCAATATAAATTTTGCCTGTCACAGGGAGTTGCCTGTCTGTTGACAGGTAAGTAACAGGCTGGTATCTGTGACAGATCGCAACTCTGGTGTGCTAAAATGTTTGAAAAAAACCAAGACCCCATAAAAAATTACAAGAATACCCTAAGTGGACACTAGCAAGCTGTTTTAATAGTTTAAGTGCCATTCAATAGCCTGTTTCCAAATTTATCAACCAGCATACCAACTCCAATTCAATTTCATCCCACAAGACTGACTAAGCTCTATAAAATTATCCTAAAGTGCTACTTATTATTTTATCAATTTACATTCAATTTATCTAAATTATTCCATCTTTTGTTAAACAGCTTAAAACATTTACTGATACATTACATCATTTGTAATTCAATGGCATGCTTCCACTTATTTTATCATATTAAGTTACTTAATAATCAGAGTGAACACTTGTTGTTCTGATGTGAATTTAGATATTTCTAGAATAAATAACTGCAATTAAATTGACAATTGTGACTAGAGACTTCTGAGGTGTCACTGTGCAATTACTGACTTCCGGGCTGATTTTTAATGAACTAGTTTTGCAATCCTTGACCAGAATAGTAACTCATGCAACATCAGATCTCATTTTTGTGAAGATATATGAAGACATGAATTGTGAGGTGCAAGAGCAGAGCTAGAAATATTTCTTAAAAGAGAGGTGGATTGATTCTTTGGATGGATATCCAAGTTCTCTTCTGGTCAGCTACTGAATATAAAATAGATGTGGCAGTCCATTTAAATGCATAACTTAAGTACACGATAAATTCTTATTTCGCAAAAAAAAGAACGTAAATTTATGCATTAACTTTAGATTTCTTGACCAAATATTCGTATAATACCTGCGGTATAAGTAAACAGAATGAGTTTGCGATATTTTTTATATTCTGAAGGTTATTTGAATGTAATCGACATGCAAGTCTGTGTTGAGTAATAAATAATGTGCGACATATACGCTAATGAATTTTTATAAAATGATTTTTAATTTGCATCGTTAAAAAAACACATCAGCAATTGAAAATTTTCCGATGTCAACAGAAAAGGATCAATATTTTATCACATTTGTCGCTAACTCGATAAAATGGATATCAACGCTTATGGTAAATGCTATGAAATTAATTTTAATTGAACTGTGGTGTTAAAACCAATATTTTGCAAGTTCAAAAATTAATGGGGAAAATTTTTGAGTTTATTGAAACACGAAATAATGCACAGCCAAATACGTGACTATAATCCCTCTGAATAAAATTTCTATATTTTGTTTTTTTTGTTGCTGAAAATATGGCGCAGTCAAATAATTAAACAATAAAGGCGATATAATTTTCAATATACCAACAAAAGCTAGCTTTATTGGGGTCCTCTCATTTTAAATGAACAGTCGAATACAATAAAGTTGTTCAGTCACCATGGAATAATCTAAATGAACCATAAATTATCAAGCTGACTAACAATGCTGTTACCGTTTTTGCTGAAAAATCCATTTACCATGTATTCACTTATATACACATATTATTATGCGTTCATTAAACATAGAACCTAAACAAATTAATTACACATTCTCTCCGTTTTTCATCTTCCTAAACATGTCGACATATTAGGACGTCCAAGAGGTGGAGGCTTTGCAGCTGCTACGGCTGGGTAATATTTTCTTTAATCTCGATTGTTCGACACGCCAAAAAATAATAAATAATACCGAATATCTTTTTAATTACTTCACATATTTTTTTATACTGCCGTTCAACAACATATTCAGTGCTGGCCTTGGTGCGAGTGCAGCCTTAGGCGGAAGTCTTGATGGTAATAAATTCATCAGACAAATTTATCCTCAATTTAATTACGACTTATCAATTTTTCTTATGTTTATAGAACAAGGTGGACGAGGCGGTGTTGGAAGTGAAGCACATGGAGCTGGATATCAAGCAAAAAAGGTGGAAATAACTCAATTTCCACAGCAACTAACCATCCCTCAGAATGTATGATAAGAAAATAAGTCGATATAAATTAAATTATTAATGTTGAATGTTTATCATGTCTAACAACTTGTGTAGGTGAAAGCTATAGAATTTGGACCAATAAATCCACGCATTTCAGCAGAACAAGATCAATCTGAAAGACGTAGACTGAAAGCAAAGTATGCTCAATTACAAAGGGACGATCAAAACAAGGTAAGTTAAAAATAATTTTTGGGGTCATTCGAAAATGACGTCCAACATTAAATGGAATTTGTAAGAGATGTCATCTAAGGTTGTATTGTACGATACCTTCCATAAAATGGCACCTAGTCTTCATTAAATATTAGACGTTATTAGCGAACGACACCTCTTTTCATGTCTCAATGATTATCTCGCAAGTTTCGGAACAAACAAGATCCAATCAGTACGAATCACAAATGTTGTTTTAAAATGTCGAAGTTAAACTTGCGAAATAATCATTCCATCCAACTTTGATGTTGTGAAAAGCTAACAATATCAAGGGTCAGACACTCCAACTGAATTGTAAAAGATTGTACAATTCTTCATAATCCATATGGAAGGATTGTAAAGATTGTACAATCCTTACAATTTTTATATGAGAAGGATTGTAGGGATTGTAATCCTTACAATCCTTATATGGAAAAAATTGTAGGGATTGTAATCTTTACAATCCTTTCCATATGAGGTTTGTAGGGATGAAATAATTGTATGGAACATTTAAAAATGTTTTTCATAGGTTATTAAAGAAGAAATATTAACTTGATACTAAAAATGTATTTGTTTGAATTGAAAGAACGAAATAAAGGAAATACAGGGTGGGTAATTTAAATCAAAAATCAAAATCATAATCTTTTTGCAATGATTTTCCAAAGGGATTTTTTTGGATTTTGATTTAAATCTCTTGTTTGAAAGTTTTTATTGGGATTTTAAAATCCCTCCATGCAAAATTTTGTATTCAATTTCTCAAATTATTTTTCAAATCAACAGTTTTCAGTTGCAGTTCCTAATAAGTGAGAATGCAGTTGATCCTTTTTCGGACAGAATCTTGCAACTGGATCTTTTAGATCCAATCATATCTTTAATAAAGGAACCGGTCAGTTTCACAAAAAATTTTTGACTTCAAGAGGTGATTCCTTGATGAAAAAGCAACAAAAAAAAATTTTGTTGATGTAAAGGAACTAGGCAGTTCAAGTGCCTATTCTTGCTTATGACTCATTAAACTAACGTAGATTACTTTGGTACTGTAATTAAATATATTTTAGTTTTTAAAAGCATTGAAGGCAGGTTGTTCCTTATATGCAGTAAGATCCAGGCATGCTTGATGAAGTCCAGTTATTTATGTGTAAGCAGCAAGGCACAGAAGATTAAAAATCATGAAAAGGATTTCGTTTAAGTCAAACAGCATGGAACTATTGGTTGCTGTAACCTTTCTTTAAGAAATGTTTGAATCTAAAAGATCCAGTTGCAAGATTCTGGCCAAAAAAGGATCAACTGCATTCTCACTTATTAGGAACTGCAACTGAAAACTGTTGATTTGAAAAATAATTTGAGAAATTGCATACAAAAATTTTGTATGGAGGGATTTTGAAATTCCAATAAAATCTGTTATACAAGTGATTTAAATCAAAATCCCAAAAAAATCCCCATACAAAACGGATTTAAATTAAAATCCCTTTTAAAATTCATTTCAAAAAGATTATGATTTTGGTTTTTGATTCAAATCACCCTCCCTGGTCACAGGTGTAAAAATTATACATTTTACAACTTTTTAATAAGTTAAAATGTATAAAAAATCATTCGAATTGATTCACAGTAAATTATTGTGTGTTCCTATATATTGTGCAGGTATAAAATATAAGAATATATAGATATATATATATATATATATATATCATAACAATAGGTGACTCTATTAGCAACTCTGTTATTTTCGATATAGTTTTTCTTAAAAAATTTCTGACTGTTTTTCTTCATTTTTCGTATTTTATTTTACTTTTCAAAAATAAATGGACATTATTTTTGTTTACTAAGGATTGTACAATCCTTACAATCCTTATATAGAAAGATTGTAGGAATTGTGCAATCCTTACAATTCTTACAATCCATATATGAAAAGGATTGTAGGGATTGTAAGGATTGTACAATCCTCACAATTCGTATGGAAGGATTGTAAGGATTGTACAATCCTTACAATTCTGTTGGAGTGTCTGACCCTTGAACAATATGAGTCCGGATCCTCATCAATTTTTCTGTATTTACTCAGAAGAGTTGAAAGCTTTTAATGAATCATATTTCCTTTTTTCATCCTTGACATTTCATCTTAACAAACAAACAAAATTGCACACATGATTCTAAATTGTTGGAAAAAGATTCCAAGTTTGGATAGTCGTTTTAACGACAATGATGATTACGTGCCTCCAGCACCACGACAAGACTATCGAAATTTCTTTGATTTTGGCTATTTTTCTGATCTTGCGGCAACATTTTCGAATGCACCAAATCCACAAACACAATCGGGATATGGCATACAGATTAGAAAACAAAAGACACCAAACACTGTCGAATTGGAGAAAATTATAACACCTGACTTGTCAAAAAAGACTGATGCGTCAAAGAAAGTCGATGATTTTTTCTAAAAAATTCATTAAATGCACAATCGCACTCATGTCCTTGATATTTGACCTAAAAGATATTAGATGCATGCATTCATCAGCACAAAAAAAAAACTAATTTTACCTTCCATTTTTGTACGTATTATCATAAGTACGGGTAGCTGGCAACAAAAACAGTATCTTCTAAATTAAATTGTAACTTAACTCCCCATTGGCAATAGAAATGTTAATAAAAATGAACAGTAAGAAGAATAGAAAAATAAAATTATTTGTGATAAGTGAAAAGTTTCTTTCAGCACTGCTGTACAATAATTTAATTTAGAATGGAAATTCTCAACAGGTAAAAACAATTTCAAGGGAGATAATAAGAGATGACAATAGTTCAAAAGATGAAAACAATGTTGTTCGTGATAGAATTTCAATGCGAAGAAGAAAGTCATCAACAGCCATTAATTCTGGTGCAGCCACAACGTCTCGGGTGAACTTTCAACCGAATCCAAACTTTTTTAATGATATATTCAATGTAAATGCTGTAGACTATAGCTTTATGCTTAATTATGCTAATTTCAGATAACTCATTATTGCTTCTGTCTCATATATTTTGTAGATCCCAATTTCAGCACTTAATGCGGTGAATCAGTTTTTGAATAATGGACTTTCTGGAGCATCGGTTACGAAGACGAAGACAAAGACTGTTGATTATGAGAGGAATTAGTTTTATTGTTCTAATATTAATTGCATGAAACTTTATGGAATGATTTTGGAAACTTGTCTGACTAGCTTTATGGTAGATTAAGTTTCTTTTGTTCTAAATAAATTTTGAAGAGCTATTGAGCAATTATTTACTGTATTTGAACCAATTTATTTTATATTAAAGTTATTAAATTTAGAATTTATAAACAAGCTTTTTTGATTCGCTACAGACGATAGCAGACATAGTCTTAATTACTTTACTTACTTTTCTGAGGCACATGTGGGCCAATTGCCGTGTTCAGAGATCATTTAAAGACAGCTCTATCCTGCCAGTTCGGTCATATTAAGGACTCTAGCGTCCTTATCAACACATCCAATCCCGGTATTGGTTGGTCTTCCTCTAGATCTTTGATATAAAGTCTGCAACAGTCACTCTAAGTACTGGGGCATTTTGTGGACATCTAAACACATGTCCAGCACATCTCAAGCGATTTGCACGGAGAACCGTAATAATATCAGACATAGTCCACTTGGGAATTAACAGCCGTGCGGACGTCATTTTAATATGTGTCTATTGCAGAGCTCGAAGGGCTCGGGTTTTTTTGAGTCGACTCAACTTTTCTCGAGTTGTCTTCATTTTTTCCGAACCAACTTCTTCATACAAAAAATTACCGAGTTGACTTCAAGTCGACTCAACTCAAGTTGACTCCGAAAAATGAAGTCGACTCGAACCCTATCGACTTCGAGCTGTGGTCTATCGGATCTATTTAAATTTTAAAGAACAGCTTGTTTAACTCAATTTTAAATGTTTTCAAAACAACTTCGCTGTAATAAAAATCTAGATTCAGCTCTAAGCTTATGACCCAAAATTATAATTAGTACTTGGATCATTTTTTCCCACGTTAAGTTTATTTTTCTCAACTGAAATAACAACTGGAAGGTGTTTTGAGAAAAGCTTCAGCACCTTTTAACATCTGGTTGTAGTAAACAATAATGAAAGATAATTTCGGGTAACATATTACAAGTGGGAGTGTTGAACTCCCGCCCTGCGATTTTTGGTCACTTCCTACATCTTGGTTACTAATGTTTATATACAAATATGAAAAATTCGATATTTACAGGGGTCGTTCGCTAATAACCTCTGTCTGTATTTTTTTGAATGTCACATAACATCAGACTTAATAAGCGACTCTCAGGGGTATGGCACAACCTGCTTCAATTCTTAATTCACACCCCTTCCAAAAATTCCACATAAAAATAAAACTCAGACTCTTAAAATGTGGAGCTTTTTGTATCGAAGAAGTTTATCCTGCTGGTGATGAATGCTCATCTAGAGACATACTTAGAACAATTTTAAATATAGAATCTTGACCAATCTTGAGACTATTAAGATCCATGTGAAAATTCTTAAAGATAAAATATAACATTTGCTCCTATTAAAGCTTTTTGAAGGGCTTTGAAGCTGTTTCTAATAAATATAATTCCATTTATAAATTTTTCACAGCCATAAATGCTATCTCATTTTCTTTCTCCACATAAATTCTGTGCTTTTGTTCCTTTATGCTTCCAAATTTTCTCAGGAAATCATCGTTTACTTTCATAAAATATTCATTCATTATTTCATCGATTTTTGCTTTGTTTTTCTGCTTTTTCCAAAGTTGAATGTCTACATGTGTTTGTGATCAATGGAACTGATGATTTCATTTTGTATCTAATCGATTTGTTGAGGCAAAAAAATGAAAATTTCTCACATGAATTTTCGTACTTAACTGTATCAATGAGAAAGCACACATCACTTGATACTTATTCGTAGAAAAAGGAATGCAAGAAAATTTTTCTTTTCGTATGAAAACATGAAGAAATCTTGCGAATTTCAGTTCCATTCTGTTTTTTTTCTTTCTCCTTTATTGAAGTAATAAGAATAAGAAAATCAATTTTCATTTTTACTCTTTATTTACTTTTTCAGTGTTGCTGAATCAGATGTCTGGTTTAGATATTGATCATGTTTACTTCGTATAATTTCCAACACAAATACTATCGAGACAAAGTTTTTAAGGTGCCGATTCTTAAGGTATACTCTAGATAAGTGAGTGGTCCAACATTTATTGGACCATGATAAACTTGAATAATTATTTCGCATTACACAGGTTTGCTATTACTGCTGACAAGACCGAAAAACAAAACTACACCAAAGGAACTGATCCTTAGGTACTATTACAGCATAGCACAAGCACCCTTTCTTCTAAAGACAACTCTAAGCCGTAATGAGAGTATCACGCATGTTTTCGTGATAAACTGTCTAAATATCTAGCTTTAGTCAATGATTTACCTTAGTTCCAATGTTTTTGACTTGAATCAGATAACAATCTGTCTAGATATTGTTATGAGTAGGCATGTCTTGGATCGAACATTGCTGTCTTGTTTCCTCCAGAAGAATCTGAATCACATACAATTTTGACTGCTAGATTGTTCTGAATCAAACCAACATCAAGACAACAACTCTGAATTTTTCAGCAAAGCATACATTTGTGCTTATATTTGTACATGCTACAAAATGTTTCATTCAATGTTTAGAGACTCTATTCAGTATTTTGTGATGATCATCAAGGGGATGAATAATTTAAGCACTTAAGTAAGCTAAAATGCAGAATATCTTGTGTCAGCTTTTTCTCATTCTTCTTTGTTGCCTTTTGTGTTCCCAACATCTCTGGGTGCTTACTTCTTTTTAATTCAAAGAGATTAAGATTAATTTATTCAAATTAATGGCCATGAAACCTCATTTTTGATTGTTTTTCATGTAATTTATCATGCTCAACACAAATCACATTCTTCTTTGTTTTCGAAGCTGCTTTTTGACAGCGGATACAGCTATGACTTGCATTTACTAAAGAGTAAATTTATTGCAGTATGATTATTTTTTGGTAATGTTTATAAAGATTTTGAGTAATTTTTAATAAAAATTTATGCTGTACATCAATTTAATAATGTATCGCAGAGCATAATTTGAGAAGGCCTGTTGTAATAATTGAAAACTTAAATTTCATTGGGGAGGAATCAACCTCACGTAAACTGTTGTTTTAAAATTCGATCAATAATTCTTGTTTTTGGACCAACAAACATAATAGCTTCATATGTCCTACATAAACCTCAATCCCCATTTCCACTCTTTCACATCATTGCATGCTTTAGATTCTCTTCAAGTTGCTACATTAAAAATAATAAATGAACGACATACACAATTAATAATCAGCATACCTGCTACATTGATGCCTACTCCAAGGGTGTGGTATTGATGAAATGATCAAAAATGATCAAGATGTAATTCTTCAGTTCCACACCCTTGGGCTACTCCTCTTAAATTTTCAATTAAATTCCCTATTAATGAAAAAACAACATGTTTGGAACTTCCTAATTACGATAACTATACTCACGAATTACCATTTGTTTGTTTTCCATCGGACTCTTCCTTTGTATTTCCAAACTAATTATGTCATACAAAGGTTTAAAGTAAATCTGTGCCTCAGCAGATATTGACATGACCTCAAATTTTCAATTCAGCTACAAATTTTCAAAACTCATGATGTTAAATTGTAAAAGATTTTCATGGAGCATTATTGAGTTATGCTGGGAAAAAAGAAGCATAACAAAGCATATTCAATTTCATACTATAAAAACCACGACACATATTTTCTGTACATTTAAAGGATGCTATTTATACGTTTAATGATTTCATGAATCCTTAATGTCCTATTGTTGGTAACGTACATGAGTTCTAGTGAAAAATCCTTAAACTCATATAAACTTTACATCATACTTAACATAAAATTATATGTAAAGACGAATGAGCATTAAAAGCAGTGAAAACGCAATTTTTTGTGTATTTCATTTTTATTTGCCAGCATGTATGCTATAAAATAACTTTAGGGATGGAGAGAAATCTTCAAATGAACTTAAACTCGTTCCCCCTTCTCTGAACAGCTTTTCCTATATATAAACCCAATATTTCACAATTTACTTCCAACTGCTAAAAGTCATCACATCACGCAAAAGATTCCTGGTGATTCTATTAACATTTTAACAGCCTACAATCAAACTTTTTTCTGAAATTCATTTTCAGATTACTAGGACACATGCAGAGTTTAATGAGATTAGTTTCGATAAGGGAAGATGAACTTTTCTCCTGAAAAATCATCCATGTCCATTTGGGATATTAAAGTTCTCTTCCACAGATGTTGATAAAAAAAAATGAATAATTTATGAAATCAGAAATAAATCTTAATGGTAAGGTCAGAGTTGAAAAACAGCTGGCTGGATGGCAATTGGAAATATTGAAACCATTACTCAAGTAGGTGGGGATATGACGATTTAAGGAACTGCCTAAGACTGTGGAAACTTGAATGATTTTTTTGATAAAAGACTTGAAAGCATATGAAGGTGAAACTGCTGACTGCAGCCAAATTTCTCTACCAGCACTCGAACTCTGGGCCAGAGTTGCAATAAAGGTTGCTTGTCACAGTCACAGGTGACAGATCTGTCACAGATATTGTCTGTTTACAGGCACTGATCTGTTACAGATTTGTTATATATGTGGGCAGATTTAACAGATCTGTGCCTGTGACAGGCTAAAAAAAAATATTGCTTGTCACAGGCAATCACCAGGTAAGACAGATTGCAACTCTGCTCTGGGCTACAATATCTTAATTTTAAGGGACGATTTCTAAAAGACAAAAATGATGCTTATTCATCAAAGACTGGAAAATTCTTTTGTAGATTTGTTTTTGACTCACTAGATTATGCAGCTATTCAAAGAATAGATGTCCTCCGCAAAAAAATATTATAAAAGTTTTTGTTTACGTGACATTTAGAGAAGAATCTGAAGGAGTTTGCTTCAAGAAGTCAATTATTTCCCTATTAACATTTTATGCTGTTTGCATCATTGAAGATTTATTTACGTAGATCTTCATAAAAATTCATACTTCCAAAATATCAAAAAAATATTTTTCTACCTTGAGCAATGATCTCCTACTCCTGTTTATCCCACAATCAAGTCATCTCAGAAATTTCAAGCTAGCTTCAAGATATACATATTACCAGATATCGTCATGATATTGCAATAATTTCCAGCTGGTTCCATTGTGACTGAAAAATATCAAATTATTCCATTCATAATATCAAAATTGCAACTGCATTTGCCAACCTCAGGTGTAAAGCATCAATTTTATTGTAAGTTTCTTTTTTTTTATCAAAAATATATATGCAATGAATATAAAACTTAAATTATATAAAATCCCATCCGTTCATGACTTGCTATCGAGAATAAAATGAAATAGTTTTAGATATATCTGCTGTAACTCATGCTATTGATCAGAAATGCTCAATGAAGCCAACTGACTTGAATCGGAATTGAGACGTGCACGAATGGCCGAGAGTGCTTGTAATAATTCATTCACAGTACGGATAGCCTGTAATTTAAACTATATTAAATGAGAATTGCAAGATGTTTCATCCTGAATGGATATAATACTCACATCGAAAATTCTCTCAAATGTTGCAAAACTAACTGGAGTATTCTCTTTGTTATCCTGCAAGAAATGACATACAATATCAATATGGAAGCATCCAATATCATTAAAAGCCAATGTTCAAACCTGAATTGCTGATTGTCTGACCGATACATTTTCTTGTCCATCTAATTGCTGTTGCTGTCGTAAGAGATTAAATTGCTGTCTACGAGTAAGAAGCTGTCCATGTGCTACTGACAACACAAGTACTGATAATAATAACAAGATAGGAATTGAAGATGTCTTTACTCTGACCATCATGAATGCTCTTTCTGAATGAATTTAATTTGTGGAATAGAAAGATAAAATAAAGTTAATAGAAAGATGCAGTTTAAATGTCATACCATAAAAGTGATTAAATAATAATTTCAACATTCTGGTGCAATCTAGATAATTGCAAACAGGCTATGAATCAAAGAGGCTTTTAGGATTATTCAGATATTAATTTGACTCAATTCCTGAGAGATCGAATCAAAAATTTAGTAAAAGTTTTCAAAAGGAACGTTTTTGGTACTTATGAGCCAATTTTACCACAAATTCTAGAGGTTTTGTGGTTTTATCATAAATGTGCATGCCTTTTATGCATACAAACTTATGCGAAACCGCAAGCAATTTAATAAAACTTTGAGAAAATTTCATGTAGAAGAAGTTAAAGATTCTTTTTTAAATCCTAAGCCAGAAAGTGCAACTTGTGATAGATTTTGATGAAGTTAGCTTATGACGCCTAAGCCCCCCCCCCCCCCCCCCCCATCTTCTCAAAGAATTTCTGTCTAAGCTCCTAAACATACTAGAGAATTCCTACAAAATACAACTTATTTAGAATTTAGTGAACGTCAGTTCCTTTCATACTGATATAAGACTGACAGATCCTTTATATCTTTCCAACATAAATAATGACAGATCCTTTATGTCACCAGCTCTTGCCAGACACAATCCACATATTATAAGCCAAAAACCGTATCAAAAAAGCTTAAACTGGAGGAAGAGATAGCTGTACAGACAGACGCACGGACGGACATAGTGCAGACAAAAGCGTCAGTTCTTGAAAAGAAAATGATGTTCCAACATAAACAAAAACTAGATAATACATTTGTACAGATTATACAGATGCAATGCATTATAGCTCTTCAACCAAATCAAAAAAATATCTAGGAACAGGTTATGCGCCTGCAAAGAATAAGAACTTAGATCTAGATTTTTGTTGGATACAAATTTAAATGTGATACTTTGCATCATGATTCAATGGTAGTGAGGGGGGTCTAAAGTGTTTGTTTTTTGCGTAACGTAATAAGTGAACGAGCCCTTAGCTGGACAGAAAGAAAAATCTTGTGCTAGAATCTTCATGTTAATTTTAAAACGATGAGAAGAAGAAAAGTTTTTGATTTTATTATTAATAATTGGGAAGAAAAATTCACTCCTTCAACTTTTCCTTTATAAAATAATCATGAAAATTTTTTCAAGAATAATTTAAAATTCATTTTTCTTCTTCTACAATGCACATAAAGTTGAAAAAGTTCACACAACAAAATGGTGAAGAGATGGAGGAATTATTATTATTAAGTTTGTAGGAATTTTTAATTAAAAACTTTTTTTTTCCTTTTTGCTGACTTTCAAGCAGTTTTTGTTCTTTCAATTCTCGAATAACTGGAACATCCAATTTCTTACCTTTATTTTTTCTTTTATCTCAAAATACACTGTATGCAGTTCAAAGAGTTTTATTTTTATGTGCTGCACAATAAACGATTCACTTTACTGTTCGTTAAACAACTGAATATTTTTGGTATACCCCAATGGCTATAAATAGCCAACTAGAAGATTCTCGCATGATTAACTTTCACAACATTCGTTCTGTTGTGAATATGCTACTGAAGGATAAATAAGAAGATTAATATCAGATCTTTATCAGAAATAAATATAAGCTGTACTTAATATCCATATCGAAAAATCATCAATATCTTGCTTCTGCTTTCCTTCAAAATATTTACTCAATCATAACAAAACTCAACATTATGCATGCACTACATTGTTTTTCTGTCGATCAGACAAGCAGAAAATTACATATCAAGCTACAAATGCTCTTTGATTTTGCATTAAGCATGAAATTAATTTTCTTATTTTTTGGATCATTGAAAATGAATTTTGCAAAAACTTTTGCTTCATATCAGCGTAATTTGATAAGGCACGTGCCTTTATGTGCTTTACTTCAATTTTCAAACAGCACATTGTGCCCACAAAGAGAAAAGTTAACAAAAATGATGATGTATGGAAGTACGCATGAAGAAATTGGGATGATTTTTAAAAATTCACGTTTCGGAGGCACAAATTGAAGATAAATCAGGCAAGCTTCTTACTCCTTAATCCTATTAGTATTAAAAGCATTTTTTGGGATTCCAATACAGGGGCGTAGCCAGAAAATTTTTAAGGGGGGGCCCATTTTCGAAAATTAAAAAGCCGTTATTTTGTATCCTTAAATCTATATTCATTCTTCATAAGTTTAAATATTTAATTCATTATTCATACATTAAATTTGATTTTTCGTGCTGATTTTGACATTTCTTTCATCACTTCGTCTACATTAACTGGTTCTTCTCTATAAATACTTAATAAAACAATTATCAGATTTTCGTAGGGGGGGGGGCCCGGGCCCCCTATGCCCCCCCCCCCCTGGCTACGCCCCTGTTCCAATAGTATCAGATTCCATCAAAGTTGGAAGTTCACAAAAGAAATTGCCAGAAAAACTCAAAACGATTTGAGGTGATTTAAGATTCATGATCAAATTACTTGGAAGTGGAGGAAAATTTCAGAGAAAATAAGAACTTAAGATGTAAATTACCATAATTGTATCAATTTACAGGAAGAAAGGTAAAGAAGCTTATTAATAATAATAACGAGACGGTTTTGCGTTGGTGATACTTAGAACTTAAAACTTGAATGAAAATGTTAAGAAAACTTGTAAGGTGTGTAAGCTGATTATGAACTTATATAGAATGAAAGAAAGATGAATTTTACAGCTTTGTTGAAGGTTTTCAGACGCTTTTCAAAAATTATCTCCAACAACCTACATCAATTTTAATTAGTCGATAGAAAAAGACTTATCAACTCATTTTCTAGAAAATCTTAATTAATTTTGTATCATAAACATTTTAAATTCAAGTTTTAATCCGTTAGTTCTGCCGTAGCCGAGGAAAGGTCAAAACTCCTGTTACTATCAAAATTTTCCAATATTCCTTCCCAATGCAAACAGAAATTTTTGATTTCTTATTTTTCGAACTTTGAATTTTTGAGGTTCTTATTTTTCGAAAATCGAATCTTCGAAGTTCTTGTTTTTAAAAAAATCGTTGTGAATTATTATTTTTCGAGTAATTTGTAATTTTAGTGAACATTCCTACTAGTTTTTATGATTAAGATAATCACTGTGATAAAATTGCATTCCTTTAATGTTTATGCTTTAAAAAACAGCTAGTTTAAAAAAAATAAAAAGCTGATACGAACAATTCGATGGTTTTGACCGTTACAGTTTCCAAGAAAACTTGTGAAAATATCTTATTTGTCTGTCTGCCATACAAAAATCGAAATTTTAAACCCTGCAGTTCGAAATTTTCGAAAATTAGGAAAAAATTAAAACTTAAATTGAGAAAGATTTATTTGAAATTTAGATGAAAATATTATGTTGTCATTTAATGATAAGCATAATATAGATAAATCTTTTTCAAAAAGATCAAAAAAAAACAAATCTTTCTTTATTTCAAATTTGGAATTATTGTAGTTTAAGTTACATTTATTTGAGTCTTATTTTGACATCAGCCTGAATATTGCTTTAATTCAACTATATCTTGATTAATTATTAATTTTGATGAATGAGATTTACATATATCATGAAAATGTGGCATAAAAAGTTTAAAAAAAGTTGCCGAGCGAGAAAAAAAAAGAAGCTTTTTTTTAAGCTTATGAACTACGTTAATAAATTATTTTTGAACTGGCTCGTTCGGTACTGGTGGGCAGCTCATGAAGCCATACTTCACCATGTCAAAACGATCAAAAACTCCAATGAAATCAACAAAATTGTAACGGTTTTTTTCAAATTTAAACTTTTCGAACGTGAATATTATAACTCCCCTAGACTTTCGATAAGTCTGTCGAACATGAATTGTTCGTATCAGATAAAAAGTAATCGACTTTCTTATTTTGAAATTTTAAAAAAATACTGCGCGAAAATTTTGAATGGATTCCTTCCTTAGTTTTAGGCTAGTTCCCGAAAAATATGAAAATGACTTATTAGTCGTTCATAAATGACGTCACAGGAAGGGAGGGATTATAGAGAAGAAAGAAAAGTAAAAAAGAAAGGATTCCAAAATTTTGTCATTTCAAGTCCCTGTGTAAAAAGAATAAAATATGGGAATGTTCAAGGGCAATCAGAAGATATGATGGTCAGAATATATAAATTATCTTTTCTTTGCATTTCTTTTTTATTCAATCCTTAAACCTAAACATTTGCTTCAATTTGTGATTTATTAAAAAGCTTCATGAAGGATTTTGCAAAGTTTTCTTTTGAATTCTTTTTATTTAAGTGAAATTCCTCAACATGTAAACAAAAACACTTTTTCCTCCGAGGGTTTATCCAAATGGATTGAAACTTTGCATAAATATTCTAGTGCTTAAAACAAATACAAATAAAACATCTTAAAATTTTTTTGAGCAAAGAACCAAGTAGGAAAAACATTTTCAATTTTGGACTAGGGGCGACCCTAGTCAAAATCAATTTTGTCACTTTTTTCTTCGAGGGTTTATCCAAATGGATTGAAACTTTGCATAAATATTCTAGTGCTTAAAACAAATACAAATAAAACATCTTAAAATTTTTTTGAGCAAAGAACCAAGTAGGAAAAACATTTTCAATTTTGGACTAGGGGCGACCCTAGTCAAAATCAATTTTGTCACTTTTTTCTTCGAGGGTTTATCCAAATGGATTGAAACTTTGCATAAATATTCTAGTGCTTAAAACAAATACAAATAAAACATCTTAAAATTTTTTTGAGCAAAGAACCAAGTAGGAAAAACATTTTCAATTTTGGACTAGGGGCGACCCTAGTCAAAATCAATTTTGTCTTTTTATTCTTCGAGGGTTTATCCAAATCGATTGAAACTTTGCATAAATATTCTAGTGCTTAAAACAAATACAAATAAAACATCTTAAAATTTTTTTGAGCAAAGAACCAAGTAGGAAAAACATTTTCAATTTTGGACTAGGGGCGACCCTA